TAATCAAGCTACAGCTAAATATGTCAACGATTGTACAAATTCATGTCGTAACCAATGTATACCTACTGGTTACTTTGAGTTTGGTTTGTGCCAATATAATCCAGGTGTCACTGTACATGACTGTTCAGTGAGACAAATTTAGTATAAGAATGTATTATAATTTCAGATATTCAAGAATTCGAAATAAATTGCAGATCTTTTTCACTATAAAACTGATTTAAAACAAAATAAAAGCCATTTATTTTTGATAAACTTCATATTGATGCAATCGAAATACTCAACAATTCCATTTAACAAGAATATTGAATATGGAAACTTCTGATTGAGCATCAAGATGAAGATGTCATTGAGTCTGTAGAAGATAATTTCCATAATCAAAAACTGATAGAAACAAGAAGAAAATTAATCTAATGCTCTCATATTTTCTTCAAATCTTCGATTGATACAAACGTATAAGAATGCAGTATTCTTTTATGAGTAAAATCAGTCAAAATAGGGCAAAGTCGAAGTTGAGTTGCGACAGTTACGATTAGTGACGAATCTTGACCTTCAACTGGTGAAAAATGATGTTTACTATTTATATTCACAGTTGTGAAAACCAGCAAAATCTGTCTATCTCTACATCACGACGATTTATCTGTTTTGTGTTCAAAAGAAAACAGAAAAATTGGAGTTTTCTCCTATACAATAGATAGCCAAAGCGGTCTTTTACTACAGAAAGAACTCAAAATATTAAGACTAGTAGGATGAGACACGTGGCCATTTTTTTTTCTTCCTCTCGTTTTTCGTTTTTCTCTCGTAATTTAGTCAGAAAGAAAGAAAAAAAGGTATATTTTTATTCACATATTATCATACGCTCATAATATATAGTTATTTCATAACGATTGCCATTTTAATGTCGCATTTTCCACTATCATCACTTCTCACCTTACCAATCGAAATATTTCATCAAATTTTCGATTATCTTGATGCACAAACAATAATATTATCGCTTAGTCGTACATGTCGACAATTGCAAGTAGCTGCTAACAGTTATATTCGATATGTTTTCAATTTTAAATTCATTTCAAAGTTGGATTTTCAACTTTTATGTCTTCGAATTGATCCTCGAAATGTTATCTCGTTAACCCTCTTTCGTCATGATGAAATAGTTAATCAAGTTCAACTATTTTTATCAACTGTGAAAAACAAATATTTCCATCGACTTCATTCACTCACTTTAGTGAATATAGAAGAATGTGATTTGAATCGTATTTTTCGACATGTGAATATTGATTCACTCATTTCATTATCAATCAAAATTGGAGAGATTTCTGAAGGGTACAAAGAGAATACAGCGAAACTTCTCTCATCCATTGTTCAACAAGTCAATCTTCGTCATTTCGAATTGGAAATTGATGAGAGTCGAATAATAACAATGTCGTGGCCCGTCGAATGTACAATTCAACAATTGAGACTCAGCACTACTCTTACTGTTTATCCATCTTCCACCATCTTTAATTGCTCAACACATTTTCGACAATTAACTTCGTTAGCAATAGAAAATCTACGAACAAATATGGATAATATTGAATTATTTTTCTCCCAGACGCCTTCATTGATCTACCTCAAGTTGATTGGTAAAGAAAATTTCATGAACGGCCATCGATGGGAACAAATCATTCAGACAAAATTACCTCTATTGAAAAAATTCGAATTCTTTTTTGTCCGATATCGAAATGCACTACCTACTGCTTTAGAAAATCAATCCATAATTGCATCATTTCAAACATCTTTTTGGATCGAATATAAAAAATGGTTAGTTAATTTTGAGTTAAGCACAGACTGGATATTTGTAATCAAGGTCTATTCACTACCCGTTTGCGTCTCTCATCTGAATTATGAATATGCATCAGGGCAAGTGTCTCAATTGGCCATGACTTCAATCATTAGTAATAATGCATCAATCATGGACAATATTACTACAGTTCAGATGAACTTGGCTAACATAACACCGATTATCATTCAACAAAACGTAATATGAGTCATATAATTTTTTTAAACCAGATATACCCTTGAATATCACAAATATTTTCAAATAGTGTAGAAGATAGAATAGTTATCTTAGAAATTAACTCTACGGTTTTGTAAGAGTTGACTAATTTTTGACATTCATCACTACGTCTTCACCAATGCTTTAACTTTATTTCAAATGTTTCTTTATATTAAAAAACCTTCGTTGAGGAAAAAAGCTTTGTTGACATGTACAACATGTTCTTCACTCTATGGTAACAAATATTGCCAACAATACAAACAAAAGTTTTAGAGAAAGTCAATTCTCTCCCTATATCGTATTCACTGTGATAGACATATCGATACAGTGATTCTAATTTTTCGACTCCGAGTTAATGCAAAATTCGATAAATTCATTCTTTCTTGTATATGAAAGATGGAGCATCATTTCTTTACATATGAAAAATAGCTTGATTGAGAACAACTTAAAAAATTGTTTTCGAAATAAATAGACGTTTTAGCAAATAGTTCTCGAAGTAGCATTAGCAATTAACTTGATTATTTTGTGAGTGTTAACAGAACATTAGGATATCATTTCTATATGTTGGAATTAAAATTCTAAAATGACTCTGTCTTTCTATTGCTAGATAGACACTATTCATCAACCCGTATTGCGTAAAGTGGAAAATCTCGCGCTCGAATTCAACAGCAAACGACCTTCGAATTGGATTTCTTTTCTTTCGACACTTATCGATCTATCAACAGTAGTTCAAATCAAATTAAGAAGCACATTGATTCGTAAAGCCGATTCAGATATGTTGTCTGATGTCACCAGTCTGTTGCAACAAACATCTAGTCTATCATTACTGGATATATGTTGCGATTTTTCCGTAGGAAAATCAAGATTAACTGTGGACAAAATCTGTCCTTTGGTATCTTCCCATGTCAAACATTTTGCAGCTTCAATTCAAAGTATAGATGATGTTCATCTCATTCTGGAGCGATTTGAGCAGTTATTAAGTGTGAAATTCTTTTTTGATTATACGCCATTTTCGAGTGTTATCACCGAATGGCTTCAACAAAACAGAAACGGTTATTCATGTCGAGTAGACAGTCTTTGTGCTCACATCTGGCTTGGTCACAATACCATTCACTCAAAAGAAATTCATACTTCTAATAAACGGATCAAAGTGATGGACAATCGTTATAATTAATAATTTATTTAAAATTTTTTATCATTTGAAATCGATTCTTCATTTCAAGAAAAATAAACAGATTAGAATTAACTCATAAGATCCAGCTATTTTGTTAACAAGTCATTTCTTCAGACATCTTCGGTGAACTTCCGAATGTTAGAATAAAGGAAAATAAATATTTTAAAAGCTTCATTTTTGATGCCACAGTGTCTCCAAAGATGCACGATAAATGTGCAGAAGAAGAACACAAGAATGATTTCTCATTTCGAATATCTCTGAACGAAAAAGAAACTTTATATTTCCATGTATAGAACAGCAATAAAAGAAAAAAAGCTTATTTTCTCTTGACCAAAGAAGATTAGGGTTTAGATATTTGTCGCGCATGAATTGGAAATATAAATGAATTTTAATGTAGGGCAAAACAATCGGCCGAAAAAAAGGATTTATTCCATGACAATCTGATGAGAAGAGTGATACAATAAATTGTAGGCATGGCCTTTTCAATCTGAGGAACACATTTAAGTCTTCCAATAGACGTTGATATGCTCTCATAATTAGTATTTGTTGAAAAAAATATCTACTTGCTTTTGCATTTTATTATTATTTTTATATTCATTAGAGCGCGTTTTCATCCTTGAATGCTCTTCAGTATCAGTAGATCTCAATAATAAATAAAAGACGTTTTTATTATTGAAACACTTATTTCGTAATGGACTACTAATTTCTTATTCTCGAGAAAAATGTTAAAGTGAATTATTTTCCACCCAATTAGATATTTCCAATTTTAAATGAGAAAAGATACTGACAAAAATGCTTCTCTTCAGTGTTTTGTTAACAATGTAAATCATTTTGCTACATAAGGGAATCAGATAACAATGTCGTCGCCGAGAGAAAGACAGGAGTAAAGAAGAGAACGTTGTTTAGAGAAGGAAAAGATCGATTTGATTCATATATGTTTAACAATGGCAAAGAAAGGTACAACGTTCCATTTCGTTTCTTCGATATAAGAAAACGGCTTGATTACCAAAAGAAGTACCGATCAGTCAACTCGATGGCAAGACTCTCGCTCTCTATTTCTCGTTAGTAATGGGTGTGAGTGTGGGTGTGGATGTCCATGTGAGATGGATACACGCCCACACCCGCACCCACACCCTTCTTGCACATTGACAATGCTCATCAGATCTTACATTGACAACTCATCATTTGTTTTGATCGCTTCAAAATCATCTATAGAACCAATTCGATTCCGACTTCACTCTCTGTTTTTTGAAACATACCAGCTAGTTTCTACAATTCTAAGATCGAACAATTGCCAGAAGATGAACGAACATTATGGAAAATCATGACGATCATGTTACATATCTTTGTCATAAAATAAATTTAGTGTTAAACAAAAGAAAACTTGCAGATCTTATCTTCCAACTCAATGCATTATACACATATTTATTTAGATAAGATAAATTTATTTCATGGATTGCTACATGTCACACATACTCATTTACCTTTCTTTTTAATTACTTGAATATTTTTCTTTTTTTATTCTCCAAATATTTGAAAAACACGTATTTCTGCATTTGGAAAATATTCTTATGAAGAATTTGAACGTTTTAGTTCACCGTATAAGTATAATTTATCTATTTTGGCACAATTAATTCATGTAGCATCTCTGGTGAAATTGTGTGTCACTCGTTGTAAAGATTCATATCTGGCATAAAGAATAATATTATTTGGCAAACACGCTTTAGTATCAAATAGAAATTCTTCTATATAATCATTATAAACATTGATAATACGAAGATCGCTAAGAAAAAACTATTCAATAACAGATAAATTCTGATTATCATTGCTTGATTCATAAGATTGTTTACGATTTTGTGATTTATGATTAATCATAGATAACTGTTCCATATATGGAAATGATTGAACAATTCGAAAAAAAAATTCATGTTCAAAAGGATATTCATCGTATAATGACACCATACGAACATGTTTAAATAGTCCACCTGAAAAATTATTTGTAATATCATCATAATATGGCATAAAAGATGGATATGAATAAATATGACATCGAGTTTGTTTTGCCTCTGAAAAATAATCAACATAAGAAATAATTTCATTATTTGTAAAGTCAATGAATGTGCGTTGAACATCTTCTGTCGATGGCAAATTCATTTCATTATGAATATATATTAATGAACTAATGTAAAATGTGAATTGATTTAAGCGTAATATACGATTAATAATGTGTCTCTTCAAATGGTTTCCATCAATAAATGTCTCATGGAAACAGACTATAAAACATAAACCAAGTACCTCTAGATTTGACATTCGATATAGTTAGTAATGGTAGGATTCTTTCCTTGTAATTCAAAGTTCCGTAATTACAGAACAGATAAAAACACCTTAGATTTGGCAAATCGCCCGAAAAAAAACAACATTTGTTATTTGGCAATATAGAGTTATTTCTTGCAAAACTAATCTGATTTTTAATTTTTCGTGGACAATGAGTATAGAGAGTATGAAGTTCATTAAAACGACCGTTGAGAAGATAAAAACAATCATTGAAACATTGTACTCTGATATTTAATATCAAAACAGTTGAAGAATGAATAGTGTAAAGTAAGGAATCATTAAAATTTAATCGAACAGGACTTCTATATGATGATTCATATGATGTTAAAACCATCAAACGGGTGAAAACATTGAAGATGTAATTACATATGTTTCCCACTGACAATAGCATCTCATCATAATCATCATTTTTATCTATTGTAATTAAAAGTATTGTAATCTGATTTTTGAAAATACGAGATGAAAGAGTTTCATTTAAATGCATATAAACAGTATTAGTTAGAAAAAATGCCTATGAACATAATATCAATATATTTTCAAATGTGATCTAGTTACCTATATGAATAAGTTTGATAAATCTTACTTTTCTTTAGAATAAAAATGATTGAATCGAATTGTCTTACCAGTAAAAAGACATCGAGCTGATTCTTCATTAATATAAGTTAGGATAATGAGCAGTACGTAAAACATTTTTCATCAATGATAATTCAAGATCAAGTTATTTGATTTTATGACGAATTTCAGGTAAAATTTGTAAACAAAATCGATTAAAGAGCATATCATAAGAAATTAGATCAATAAAATCAAACGACTTGATAAAAATTGAATCTTGAATAATCTGATTTAGTCATTGATTGACATCTTGTAAAGAATAAAGTATATATTAACATTATTGAGTTTTTTGAAAATAATCATAAGAATTTCATCAGGTAATTCATTTATCGACTGTTTTCAAATTATGAAAAGTCAATCTTTATATGCATATACTGAACTTCTTTATTTGATCGATGTTGTCAATACAAAAAAAGAAAGTTCTCTGATCATGTAGGAAAATCAATTTCAAGGTTTAAGAATAGACTCTAAAATATGAAAATTGATTTGAAATTTCGTATTCAGCTGCAAGAGTATTTTTTTTTCTTTATATATTCGTATTTCGACACTTTGTTAACGATAAGTATATCGTTTTTTTTTGAAAAACTATTGAAAAAGATTCTAGAGTATCATAACTGATCTAGAAATGGTATCATATAGCTTTCAAAAGTGTTATTTTGTTAGATCACATTAGTTATAATGCTAGTTTTTTTTCTTCGTAAGATTTTCATTCAACCAAAACTCTCAAGAGTAAATTTTTCAGAACATGTAAAAATCCATGCATTGTTAGTGTGCTAAGTCAGATTCGAATCGAATAATTTTGCCAATATACGTATCATATTATACCGAAGATAAAACAACAAGAAGAACATGAGTGGTGAAGTTTTGAAAGTTTGTTGAATTTTCTTGAAGTCTTCAAGTATGAAAATAAACCAGTTTTTTCTTAATCATTCCATATGTTTATGATAAAATGAAGATATATGATGAATATACATATGTTGATGTCTTATTTTCTTGAATTTTCTAAATACTTTCTTGTTCTTTTGTTATATACATATATAGATATATAGATATATGTGCAAACTTGAAGAGTTTCATACTGACTAATGTTCTTAGTGACTTTTAAGATCTTTTTGTTTGTTTATTATTATTATTATTATATGTTAGAGGAATTAAGCAAACATAGAATTGACAAATCTTCGTCTCATTTATTATTATTATTGCTAGATTCGATTAAATATGTTCATATCAGTTTGTTGATTAAATATAAATAATGAAATTATATTCTTATGCTAGATCAATCATTCGAGAAACGAAGTTCTTTTAGTGAAAAGATTAGTTATTTCAAATCGTGATTGGAATTCTTGAATATCTGTTCAAATATGAGCACTAATACTTGGCAAAATTGAAAAAGAAATATTTTCTAGATTTTTCATTATATTATAAATTGTTGAAGTAAAGAAAAATTGAATCAGATTAAAAAGAACAAGTCATATTTTGCAAATATCATAATTAATGTGAATCTCTTTCTTAAGTATAATATTCACTATCAAGTTGTATGATTATATCATTAGCAAGGAAATATTTTAAAATGTTACTGATTGATCAAACTTAGATTTTGTCCATAAATAACATTTGATGAGACTGGAAGAAGTCTAGAAAGATTTGTTCTCGAATCATGACCATTTTACTGATAGTGGTGTGAGCAGAAAAAAAGAGTTATAGAGGAAGAGTTCAACCATTTGTCAAGAGGCTCAACGTCTTCTGAAGGAAGAGAAGGAAAGAACCAAGTCTTTGATTTCTAGGCTCTATTTACTTGTACAACTATTTACTGGATTCTCTATTTCTAGCAAAGCATATATAGAATAATTGAATTCTAGATGAATTACTATATGAACATTTGTCTATATATATATAGATCGATCTTGTAGTCATTAGATAGTTCTTTAAATTTCAGTCCAAAAGAATATTTTGTTCTTGACATATGAAATATTGAAATGTACTTCATTTTCTCAACTTTTGTTGTCATACATGATTCATTTTGGATATGTTACATTTCAAAAACGAATACATTTTTCTGACTAAAGCGTTTCGAACTATCTCATGGTTATAAGATCAATCTACAAACAAAAGTTCAAATGAAGATTGTGTAATTGGATTATTTCATAAATATCTTGCTAGAAACCAGAGAACGTCACAGGACGGTTTTTTTCGTCCTGCCCTGCATTTTTGCAGGACATTATCAAACCATGTCCTGCTTTTCAGGACGGATTGCAGGACATAAAAACCTTCGTCCTGGCAGGACACACTTGCAGGACAAAAATTCGTCCTGCGTCCTGCCTGCAGGACGAATTTTTGTCCTGCAAGCTTCAAAAAGGTAAAATATTATCTAAATATGAGATATGATGTCAAGCATTCTACAAGTACTCTTTATAGAAGTCATTTATAATGATCCTGTTAATTAATCTAATCACACGCTTTCTGGTAGACATGAAATGAAATGAAAAAAAAGTACTAGATATTCGTAAGAATAAAAGGAATCAGAAGATAATCACGATGACAAAGGATTTATAATCTTATTGATACTGAAGATGAGATACAACATCAAAGATGAAAGTATTGTTTACATGAAGAAACATAATATAATTTTATTAGAAAATCTCAAGACAAGTTTTTCAACAGAAATGAAATGAACAGAGAATAATACTGAGATCTATAAGATCAACAAATCAATAGCAGAAGGAACACTAAGATACAAAGTTCGCACTGCAATGAAAATTCACAGATAAATATAAGCTTCTTTTTTACTTCTTGTTTTTGAATTTCTCGTACGAACGAATAAATAATATATGATCAGTTTGACTTGGTGATAAACGTGTTCGTCTTTGAGTAACTCTTAATCCAGCGGAACTAAATAACTTTTCCACTGATGCACTAATTGCTGGTATAGTATGTATTTTTCTTGCTACTATTAACAAAAGCAGGAATTACGTCTAAGAAGTGTTGATTATATTACATTTTTCATGTTATAACTGTTCATCGCTCTACAATTAATAACTAATCACTTTATAGAAATCGCTATGAATCTCAAAATCTTTGTACAACTGATTTATTTCTGTTCTTTGCTTTCAATGCTATCCTGCAGGACTAATAAATCATCCTGCAGGTCCTTCATATAAAAAAGGTTCTCCTGCTCCTGCACTGCCCTGCGAATTGCAGGAATAAATTCCAAAAATGCAGGGCAGGACCTGCATCCTGCAGGCAGGGCGATGCAGGACCTGCAGGACGCAGGTTCTGTGACGTTCTCTGCTAGAAACCGATAATTTAATAAAATGATCATAATGTGAGAATATTATCGTATAGGGACGAATCCTTTCACAGTTCTTCTATTCTCATGAACTCGTACTTGTTGAACAAAATCCGACAATACATTCCATGAAAAGATATAATCTTTTTCTTGAACAAGTTTTTCATGCATATCAGATGTTATTATACTTGAAAGTGTTCCAGTAGATGAAACTTTGTTTTTTTTTCTCTTTCTAGTAGCAAAAACCTTTGATAGAAGTAATTTATTTGGTAATGTATACTATTTTTTAATTGTATCTTTTTATCAAATGACTCAAGATTAATATTCAGTAATAGACATCAGATCGATATCGAGAGCAGTGTACTTTTATAAAAGAATTTCGAATCGCATAATAATCCTTATATTGCTTTGTTGTATAGATAATTTAGACCGTAAAAAGTTTAGTGCCAATTGAAGTAATGCATTATTAAGTTATTCTTATTCATCATTATTCAATATATGTACATTATGTGACAGAATATTGAGTATTTCACATAATTCTAGAAAAAGAATCGTATCAACATGAACAGGTACAAGTGTTGTAGATCGAAAAGTATCAGTGTCTATTTGAGTCGATATCATTCCCATACTTTCTATTTGTAATATCATTTGATGAAGACTTTTCATTAATTAATTTCGATGTGGTTCATTCAAATAATGATTTGGTATTTTACAACGATGAATCTATAGAAAATAATGTCAAATGAATTAGTCTCAATCATTTAATGTATATACTTGTTCATAACAACAAAAACCTTTCAATAAACAGTTCACAATGATTTTTCAACATTTCGATATTTTATGTTCATTAAGATTTTCAACTGAAACGAATTGTTCGTGATAATATTCACATTTTGGATTTCGATGAATTTGATCGAGATGTTCCTTTAGAAGAAAAGAATCTAACGCTCAGAAAAAAGATGACTATAAAATACTTTACTTGGTAATTTGGTAATATTCCAACCCAATGAAACAAATAACATGCGATAGGTAATGATTGCATGTCCATGTTAAAACCTCGATCAATCATCATCTGAAAACAGCGGACATTGATATTACACGGAAATAAAATGAATATTTTACTTGGTATTGTGATGTTTTTGTTAAATATTGTGGACATTTGATTATCGTTCTTAAAACAATAATAAACAATGTATGAATAATTTTAATAATGAAACTTTTACCTATGTTGGAATTCATGACATGATTGACATTGTCGATCACTACAACAAGTTAGGTGAATTGGGTCTTGTAATATAAATGGAAGTATTGAAGAAACTTTTACTCTATTTTTTAATATTTCATAAACTTTCAAATAGTAGCATGATAATTAAACTTCGATAAGAGCTGTATGTAAGGAAAAATTGCTAGAAGATGGAAGGCCGCGGTTTTTTTTTCATTGAAAATAGGAAAAACAAGGCATAGGCGAGAGAGAATGCTTATTTTTTCGGTTGATAAAGCTACACCTACTACCCATCAATCTCATTCACACGTACACCTACATCTCACTCACCTAACATCCATACTCTCATATCCATACCTCTACATATTTTTGTTCAACGGCAAAAGCAACGACTTTTAGCATAAAAACAAAGTGAACACCCATAAGAGGTCGTGGATGTGGGAGAGGTTAAAAGTCTTTGAAGCGACAATCTGCACTAACACACAAACAACCACGTTGACATTCATCTCACACTCATGCTTCTTCTGAGGTAAAAAAACGAAAATATGTTACTACGATTCTAAGACAAAAAACAAAATTTCATAATTTATTTTCCTGTTTATGTATGAAGATAATATAGTCCGATCGATATATGTTTTTTTACCTTATTTTACTCTGATATAAACATTTAAAGGATTTAGTTGATCAGATAGCCTTCAATAAAAATGTCAAGAAACATTCGTTTTGTAATTTCAATCGATCTCTCTTAATAGATGGACGGTTCAAACATTGTCGAATTCGTATGCATTGAGTAAACTCAAATATTACAAAGACATGTCTCAGTTCAATTATTTCTTCACGACTGAAATTAAAATAATAATAAATGATAAACCATTGATCACAGATATTTGTAATCATACTTATCTGTTCTTTATTTTTTAACTGAAAATTTGAAAGAAAAAGAAAAACAAATTTATTTTTTCTGAATCTTTTGTTGATGAGAGAATCATAATCGTTGTGACAATGTCGATATACTAGGATTGAATAGATCTAATAAAATGAAATGTCTTTTTTATTTCATTTCAAAAGCTTTTGACTATAATTCTAATTTGAATAAGTATAAAAAACTTTTTACTGTTTGATTGTATTCTCTTTCTATGCTCTAATTGAAGTCATGACGCACGTTGTTGGCGTCAAATATTATTGACAACGATAAATCATGTTTTCTGTTTGATTTCTTTCTTATTCTTCTATTTAATGATGCAGGACATAAAAACAAAGACCAAACATTTTTATTTGGGCAGTTGAGGTCAGATTCTTGGAGACTTATGATGTTTTGTAGAAAAAAAAGTAAAACCAACTTACTTTATATATCAATGAATACCCAATCATGTGTACACTAGACCTCTATCAATGTTCATTAATGCATTCAACATTAAATATAAAAGTCAAAACATTATTGAGAACAAAGATTTTCAACACAAAATATAAAATCATCGTGTATGTGTTCACAACTCCGAGTAAGGTGTTTCAAAGAAATGAAACAATAATTCTGAAAATGATTGAAATAGTTCTCTCGTTTTCATATACATAAAGAAATATATTTCTAAACTGAGTAATTTTCGGTTTTCAAGAATCGAGTTTTCTATAGTAAAAATGTTTTTTCGGGAAAAATCTTTGACATAGGTCTTGATTGTAGGAAGTAGATCGAGATATACGGCTAAAAAGAAATCTTTTTCTATTTTTTAACGAACGTTTAGGCTATGTTGCTTTTATAGAAAAATTACACTTCGATGATACAGTGACACACATGTTCAGTACAGTATACTTGTCAAGGGAAATGTACTTCAGAAAAAGTATAACAACGAACGAGTCATTATTCAGAGACAGAACTGTTGCTAACCGATAACCAATGGCAAACATCTTTCATTCAAATCTTAAAATACGTGAACTTCTGACTTAACAAAAGATACACGACGAATGTCAAATTTTGAATAGATTTTGATTCTTGCTTTGGTTTTTTCTTTGGTTCAGCATTGTTCACACAATTATAGAGTAACAAAAGACCAGTGAAAGAAACTGTCAATATTCCAATCAATTGTGACTAAGAAATGTTGAGCAACATTACACGTTCACGTGTGACATATTAGTTGGATTGATTTTTAGATTGTTCTTGATTAAATTGGGTAGATGTAAGAATGAGGTGTTGATTTGGATAGTAGACGTGGATGTTTGGATGTTCTCTTCATATCCACATATATCCTGATTGAAAACGAGAGTTTCTCTAGAAAAATTTTGAAGTCTCTTTGAAATTTTTTTTCTTCAGACATGTGCCTCCTTATTTTACGTACTTAATCTATGGTAAAAAATCTCAGCCTGATTCGTTGTCCTCTCATCGAGAATTAGAAATGATGTAAAAAGAAATCTTTACTTTAAATGTTTATGACAATAGTGTATTTCAGGAAATCACTGAAGTCGACTATAGTTTTGATGAACATAACATCATTTAGGACATAAAAATTTTCTTTGTTACTGAATCATTGTTAATAGAACAAAGTTCGAAATGTCACTAAAGATATTTTAGATTCATTGTATAAATAAAACTTCATTTTATAATTGAATACAAGTTTAAGGAAACTTATCATGATCACCTCACCTAAGAAAAGAAAAAATCGATACACATGTGTACCTCTACCAGTTGCATTATTATCTAAGTACAGATGAACCCTTATTGTATAGCTGACTCGAGATCAATAAAATAGAGACGAATTCATCAAGGTTTGTTGTTCTGAACATGCATTAATTAGAAATCAAAGAAAGAAATCATGCTACAAAGATATCGGATGATTCCATGTTACGAATAATTCATTTCGTCAAAGCATCCATTTATTATTTATTTATATAATGATTTTTATCAATTGTACTAATTATTTCTTGAAAACAAATGGTTCAAAGCACTTGAACTTACTTATTTTCTCTTTACAACTTGTAATTTTTCAGGCAAACACTTCATCAGATGAAATACAACGTATTTCATTGATCTTTTTTTTCAAGACTGATAAATCATCTATAATAAAATCTTATTCGTTTATTTGTATGTTCAAAAAGCGAATACTTTTTGCACAACTAATTTAACTTGCGAAAACCCTGTTGTGACTCTTAAAATACTCCTTAAAAATGGAAGTCATTCCCTTTTTCGATGTTTTTCATGCTTAGTCCATTTCTGTGTCCTATTCGACAAACTATTTTATATGACACGTAACAATGAGATGCAGCAGAACTAAAAATTTCACTAGTTATTAATTGAGGAAAATCAGTATCAATTTGAATCGATCTCATATTCACCATATCATTTGTGATTTGATTAAATAAAGAACTTGACGTAACGACGATTGTTGTTGTTTACTCAAATAATGATCCGATATATCAGAACGAAGACCGTCAAGACAAATAGGTTCAAATAAAATCAATTTCAAATAACGTATATTCATATTTGTTTATTATAATCAAAGTCTTATATCAAACAGTCTGTAGTCTTTTTTCGATGATGACTCAAATAGGTGAGAATTTCTGTAAATGTATTTCGATGTTCTAACCATGATTACTATTTGAGTGTTTCCACATTCATTCAGAAAAAGCACCAGAAACGTAAAGATGCTTAAAAAAGTAAGTAGTTCATCTCAAGAACGTCAAAAGAAAATTCCTCTGCAATATTTTGATGTGTTTTGCAGATAAAAATAACTTTTCATTCCGTGATATTTGTACAAAATATTGAGAGAAAACTTTTTGAACGTTTTGAATATATAAAAGTTTTTGTTTTCAAAGTGTCTCCATGTATCTCTAGGATCACGAAATAGTAGTGCTTATCGTTTATGGCTGCTCTTTTTGCGTGGAAAACATTTACGTACAAAATTGATATATCTGTCAACAATATGACACATTTACGTTTACATCATTAACTGTTAAGAATAAAAAAGAAAATTTTATCAAAAATCCAAATAGACCTTGAATTTTTTTCAGACAAGAAGTTTACACTTCTTGCTCCGAAGTGTATTTTTGTCCTCAAATGAAATCGGAAAAATAAGATCTATTTATTAATGTTTCAGAGATTTTCGATAAAACTATCTGGATAATGATTCCTTAAAATAATTTTTCTTCCAGTACATTTTTTTTCAGTTATCAGACAACGAAATAATTCCACTTTATACGAAAGATCGATAAGCTCTACTTGATTATCAAACAATAGAAAAATCATAAAGGAATGCTTGATTTATATATTAAATTGTAAAAAATTTTATAAACTCAAAATAGAATACGCTTGATTATTGATTCAATACTTGGTATAAATTAAACGGTAGGTCATCTTTAAGATATTTATAGTTGGCCCTCAGGTTCTAATTGTGCTCTTCTTTTCATTTCTTGCTGGATCATAGCTTGTTGAATATGCGTTGGTAGACCAGGATTGAGACTTAATGCATAGGGTAATAATGTTTTGAGTGTTTCTCCAAAATCAACCATAACTTTGATAAACATTGTGTCGTCTCGTACATATGGACTTCCTTCCTCTTGAATTGCCTCCAACAGGAAAAATTTCGGGATGCCACTGGCTATATGCATATTCGATCGAGGTCGTTGAAAACTACTTGACTTACTATCTGGTCGAAATGAATTAATAATATGTCGTTGTGCAGGTGTTTGATCATATAAACAAAATGTGACTGTATAGTTAAATGGAAATTTGAGAATTGGATCGTATTCACCTCGCATCAGCACAAAAAAGAGTGACATATATGTACGGCGAGCGTCTCGATAACCATTTAAACACAAACAAGATCCCATTTTGTAGCCACTTGGAGATGAATAAAATAGAGGCGAATAAATGAATGTTTGTCTTTCAGACTGTGCATCAACTAAAAATTAAACAAAAAAAATACCTTAAGAAGAGCAGAAGAAAATATAAAGGACTTTAAGAGCTCGACAATATTGATCAGTCATTATATCAACAGATTACTCCGAGAGTGTGTTCGAGAATAAGTATATAATATATTGAACACAATACTTATTCGTATACGTAGCATTTATTGGTTTTAATAGAAACTGAACAGCATATTACTCTTTGATGGCCTTTTCAATAAGGTTTTCTATTTTTATCATTGAGGATAAGACTGATTGGTCAACTTACTAATTTTCTCATGCAAGTTTGTAATTCTCCAAATCAATGTTCCATCATATGAAACACATTGCAAATCATTGTTTTTTTCTTGCAATGATGATAAGTCTTGGCTAAGAAGGTCTTGATTATGTTGTACTCCTTCCAAAAAAGGACTTGATTCTTCAACAGATAATTTGATTTTCGACAATTCTTCTGTCAATGTTGGAAGTGTCATTTGCATTTGAAGTGCTTCATTGGTTAGACGTTGTTCATCATTGGTCAATGTTTCGATGCCCCCCACTAAGATACTGAGCATTTCATAGAGTTCTTCTACCTGAGTTGTTGTTCGAGGAAGATCAATATCTGCACCTCTGTTGTTTAGCTTTGATAACATTTGACGAACAACTTTGAGAACAGCATGTTGATGTTGCTCAGTTAAATAATGATCTTGTATTTTGGCACGAATAATCTAAAGAACATGGATTTTTCTTGTTGATTTCGTCTAGAGAATAATGCATACTCGTTCATTACAACCAAAATCTTTCAATCTACAGCCAACAATCAGTTGTTGATATTCGAAGACTTTGTGTTCATTGAATTCGTTAACTGAATTGAACTGTTTGCCACAATAATCACATTTGAGATTTGAATGTGATTGATAAAGATGTTCCTTTGAAACATCAAGGAAAGAACATTCAGGAATAAAATAAATATAAAATGAATTACTTGATAGTTATTTAAGATACCATTCCACTGACAAAAAGAACAATCAATAGGCAGTGATTTCATTTCAT